CTTTTCCTACACACACACACACACACACACACACACACACACACACACACACACACACACACACACACACATACTGCTAGCTGTGCCTCTGTTCTTCTGACTTCCTGTTCACTTATGGTTCACTTCAACCTGTCATTCCTCCTGTTTCAGTGAAGCGAAATGAATGTAACTTAAGAGCTTTTATATCTTGTTAGAATTAAAATGCCACGGATCATGTGGGACGGTTGTGTATATTCTTATATCCTGCATGAGATGATATGCTTAAATTATTTTGCTGCTTAATGACTCACAATCGCAGTCCATTTACATTTGCAAAACAGATGTTTACTCAATCCATTTGTGTTGGGACTTCTTCAATGATTTCCAGTAGTGTTAACGTGGCATTGCTGAAACTGGGCAGGGGATATCTAGTTCCCAGCATGCTTTGCATGAGACTTGATGGGGAGAGTAAATGTTGAAATTAGCTGCTATTTTATGTGTTTTTGAGCAAGCTGAGAAAAGAGGGACAGTTGTTGGAGTTTAATGTTCTGTTATGTTGGGATTTAGAAGAGTTTGTTAGGTTTTCGAAGAGTTTTGGGGTTACCGTTGTGTAGCTTGATTGCGCAACAGCCCAATAGGTGGCGATATGCAGTAAGCGTGTAAATCGGTATTGGACAAAAGAAGTAGGCCTGTTTGTCGTGTTTACTCATAAAGCAATTAACATTTAAGTGAAGTGGAATCTTTTCTCACTTTTAAAGGGAAATATGGTTATCATGCTAACTTGCTAATGCTGTTGCTTTCTTGTTATTAACTGTTGTAGTTGTGTTCGTTTGACACAGTGGCGGCTCCTGCCAGTTCTCACGGGGGGGGCAAATGTTTGCATGATTAATGAGGATAGGTCACCCATTCAATTGATAAATTAACGGCTAGTTAAAGATGTAAAGGAAACTGAACTACTATAGTATTAATTAAAAATAAACTGACTCTAACAATCAATCTCTTGCTCTTCTTATTTTTCTATATGCGTGTTAACACAATTCAACAGAAAATGAAGACTGAAGCCAGGATGTGGTTTTCCAAAAAACTTTTTACTTCAATTTCAGTTTAATAAGAAATAATTGAAGTCCCATAAATCACTATTTACACAACTCACTTATATTGCACTGCTCATTTGTATCACACTGCTCACTTATATCACTTTACTCACTTATATCACATTACTCACTTACACTGCTCACTTACAT